AGAGGGAGGACGACCGGAGGGGGGGGCACATGTTTTATTGAGGTCGCCAGAAAGAGGGGTGGGGGTCCGTTCATGTGGAGCCCCCCCCCGGGTTTTGCATCGCCGGGGGGAGAGTGGGTCCCTCGAGCGAAGGGGGGAGCGGGATCAACGCCAAAGTGACCCTGCAGGAAAGCAAAGAGGCTTGTTGAAAACATGCGAAGAGGTTATGTTTTAGTGGGGAAAAGCATCTGGCACGAGCAAAGTCACCGTGCGAAGGTTCTGACAGAGAGGGTTTCGGTGGATAGGGAAATCCGACATGCGAGCGGCCTCTCATAATTCGAAGACTTACTGCTGCTCGGCAAGGGAAGGCGAAGGCCAGGGGTTCGCAGATATCAGGGATCTGATTGCGATTGGATGCTAAAATCGTGAAAGAAGTGAGAAGCCGAGGGCGGCAGTGGAGAGGTTGTCCCAATTGCCTGCGTCGCCAAAGTATGGAGTTTACTCATTGACGCTTGGAGACTAATCTCACTTCCTACAGCTGCGTTGCAGAGGAGATCACAATTGAGCCAGAGTCGGGCAGGAAACGGCTTCAAACAGAGAGTACGACAGCACCGAAGGCCGACTGAGTTGTTCATCCTCTTGCAACCCGGTTTGACGACTCTCCGGCCTTGCAACCCCTGGGGATGAGAAACGCTACGCACTACGGACCCGTACAGGACAGCGCTCATGGCTCATTGTTGAGAAATACACGAGAAGGGTAAACACATTTATCATAAGTATTGTTTCGCCCCAAAAGATGCTATGGCGGGTGAAGACGTCTCAGCGAGAATACCAGAAGAACAGAAGCGAGAAGAACAGGCAAAACAAGAAAATTCCTGCCTCACCGATAAGCTTACTGAAAGGCACGCCCCCCTTGTGAGGCCCGGCGTTTGAGCACGTCTTGTACAACGAAGTCCAGACACTGAAAGTGGATAAGGCAGTAGAAAGGAAAGGAGGGACCGAAAACAAACTTCGGAACGACCGAAACTCCGTCCTTACCGGTAAGCTCACTGAAAAACGGGGCACTTTCCCCCTGCCAGGGCGCCAGCTGTTGAGCGCGTCTCATTGAAAGAAGTTCAGGCATCGGAACGAACAACTCAGCAGGACAATGAACAGGGGGCGAAAAAAACGAAAACACCAGTCTTTCCGATTTCCGGTAGGCTCACCGGGAGACAGGGCGCCGGCGGTTGAGCACGTCTCAACGAAAGAAGCTCAGGCATCGGAATGAACAACTCAGCAGGACAAAGAAGAGGGGCAAAACCAAACGGAAACATCCGTCCCCCTCACTGGTAAGCTCAATGAAAGGCGGGTGTACGTTCCCACTGCATGGCGCCCGGCGGTTGAGCTCGTCTCCAGGACCGAGTTTCAGAATCCGGATTTAGCAAGTCAGCAGATAAGCAGACGGGAACGCCAAACAAGAAAACAGGGGAACGACCGTTATCCCATCCTTACCGGTAAGCTCACTGGAAGACGGGGCACCTCCCCCCCGGCAGGACGCCGGCGGTTGAGCGCGTCGCGCACGCGCCTCTGGAACGTCTCCAGCCGCGCCTCGCCGTCGCCCTCCGGGAGCAGCGCGCTGGCCACCAGGCGCTCCGTTTCACGGCTCTGCGCGGAAAAGAGATCACAGATTACGTCAGCGCGAGGACGTAAGGTTCATGAGTGAAGCCAGCGTAGAAAGAGCAGGAAAGCGTTTGTCCCGGCAAGGTCTTGGAAGCATCAAGAAGAGACGTAGGATGGCCGACTGCTCACGTGAAAAGAAAAACACAAGGGATACGAATCACAACAAACAAGCGCTCGCAGAGAAAGAAATCTACATTTGACATCCAAAACCCCGTTGCAAAGAACAAGGAAAAGGCAATCTACCCCTTCAACCCACCTCAGCAATCTCCGTCGACAGCGTCGCAATCGTCCGCATGTTGGCCGACACGCGCATCTCCAGATCGTTCGCCTTTTGCTGCGCAGCCTCCTTGGCTTGCGTGGCGGCGCGTAGTAACACATTATTCTGGCGGATCAGCTCGTCCCGTTGCTCCAGCATCGCTTTGCTCGAGGTCAGCCGTTGCTGCAGCTCCTGGTTTGCCGCCTGCAGCTCCTGGTTGATCGCCAAACACCGCTCGAGCTCGGCGACCGCGGTGCTCAGGGCCGCGCCGTCGGGCCGTGCAGCGTTCTGGTTAACTGCAAGAAGAATTCGGAATGGGTTTGAGTATTTCCGGAGCGAAACTCCGAATGCGTGTTCCTATGAGGTTCGGCAAGGAGCCAAATGGGCACTGCTCAGGCCAACCGCGGTGCTGAAGGCCGCGGGGCGTCGGGGCGTGCAACATTCGGAGTCCCTGCGAGGAAACGGAAGGTCGGAGTCTGTCGGGAGGTAGAACCCTGATTATTTGGAAACTTTGTTTTCCGACGTAATTCCAATAATCCGATGACGCATCGCTCAAGCACATTGCCGTGCAGCGTTCTGGTTACCTGCAAGAGAGTCTGGAGAGGTTCGGGTCTTCCCGGAGCAGGAATGCTTTTTTTGAGAACTTTGACAACGAGCCAGCTAGGAGGGGCACCAAACGCGGTCGCCGCCGTGCTGAGTGCTGCGGGTTTGGTGGGGGGCGGTTCCGAAGGCTCCAAAATACAGGATGTGTGTTAGCACTTTGAAGGATGTAATCTATTATTGTGAAGGACTCAGGTCTCGAACCTCTGAAGCTGACAAGGACGTGCGCTCGAACTCAGGCACTGTCGGCCTCATGGCGGCACCATTGAGATGGGCGGCTACAGGAATTTTTCAAACTGCTGGATAGATCTTTGCCGAAACCAAGTAAGTTCGACATCCCAGCACAACTACGACCTTGTTCTTGCTGTGCGTTGCCGTTTTGTTTTGTATTTTGGTGCTTGTTTTGACATCTCTCGCCTTACAACACCACTAAGGCAGCTGGGAACTGTCGACTGCTACAATTAGCTTAACCTGGATTTGGTCTGTGACGAGAAGCGAGCAAGAGATGCTCTTTCCCGTCACTCAACCTTGTCGCAATTGTGACAGTCGCCTAGCACAACCGGCTGTGTCTAAATCATGAAATCTGTGATACAGGGTCTTTGGAGCAGTCGTATCCGTTCGTATCGTGCTATCTGCCTGCCACACGCCCTGTGGCGGAGAATGGCCACCAATTGTTAGAAAGCTCGCCAGGCAACGCTTCAAAGATGTGAATGGGCTCACACCAACGAATGCCAAAGAGAGGATCGCCGTTTTACCTGCCAAAGCCTGGCCCGGCATGCCACCCCCCCTTACATGAAGCACTTTCCCAGCTTCCCGAGGTTGAGCTTCGGGGCTTGACCTAAGGGAGAAAGAAGTCAAGACGTTACGTCAGCACTACTCGGCCCCAGTTGCTCAAGTCATCAAGAAGCGCACACGTGATTGTCCTTGTCATCAAAGTCTTTGAGTGCCGAAACATTGCAGTGCCTCCCAGAAGACTTCACCCCCTTGGAAGCCACGAAAGTCAGGTGGAATGTTTTTAATCAACCTTTAAAGGATTGAAGTAGTTCAGCGACTAATCAACTCTGGAAACGCAAACTCGAATTCATGTCGAATGGCAGATACCCCTTTTTAGATAACTGTAGGAGTGCTGCAGCCAAATACAATTTCCAGTCTCAATGAGCAGCAAACTCTTCTCACTGGAGAAAAGGCTAAGCGTGACGATGTTGAAGGGAATGCGGCAACTGTAGAAGATGACTCCAGCAACATATATGCAGGACTTTACTTACTCGTCTAGGAAAACACGGAAACTCAAACCACCATCCGCAGAAAAGCCGGGCCAAACAGAACACTGCTACTGCTCGCTTATTGTCAAAGATGCTGCCCACAGACTCGCTGGACAGTCTCAAGTCTTTGCTGCGGAAACAACCATTCGACAGGTGCTCAACACCGTTTGCCTAGAAGACGTTACCCGGAGATGAGTTCTCCTTGAGCTTTTCTGAATAGGCTGCGCAAGCTTACGAATTCCGAATTCCTGACAAGCTGACGGGCTCACTTGGTCTGAGTTTCCGGCTCATTGGCCCGACCTTCGGCCGCCTGCTGCTGCAGCACACCCTCCTGAAAGGAGTGCACCATTTGTCTCCTTTTTGCCTCCCAATCTTCGTGCACCGCCTCTAGTTTCTCCGGTCCTGGATCTGAACCAGTTCGCGCCGGAGGGCTGGGCACCGCCGGGGGGGGGGCATCGGAGGTGAGGCCGCGCTGTTGCTGCGCTTGATGCCCTGCACAAATTGAAGGGTGGGCTTTACAATGCGGACTGTTTTGGCAACCGACACCACCCGCACACTCTGCCCGGTTTCCATCAACAGCCTGACTGTGTGCTTTGGGTACTGCAGGTCAACGAGCCAACTTAGAGTCGGCTGCTGAAATGAGTATCTTAGGTATCTACAAGTCGCAACCCAGAAGCTTTGCCTGATTTTCTTCTCAGAAGTTGACCGCCTGCTTGATGTCGGGTTGAACCTAACTGCTGACAGGTTCCTGATATTCTGCAACACTCCGATGACAGGACTGTGATGAGCACTTGGCGTTGCCCAGACTACGGCTGCATTTTGTCATGATTGTTCGAGTAAAGATACAGGAGCCTTCTAGCGCGATCCAAAAGATCTCTTGCATTCTTCTGCCAGCTGAAAGCCTTCGTTGTTCACTGACCACTGCCTTCTACTCTGTAATCCATGTTTCTCTGGAGCTCCCCAATCGCTTCCGCTTGTTTAAGGTCGTTAAAATCCAGCATCCAAAGCAAGAGTCCCACTCACTTGGTTGTTGCCCTACTGCAACGACCTGGACCCCTTACAATACAAGCCTGCCTTTGCAATGCAGCCTACATCCTTTTGAATTGTGCAGTCAATCAACGTCCACACGAGAGCCTCGTCTTTGAGGAAGAGCACTTTTCCGCAGGTGCAAATTGATGTTATTTGTGCAACTTGTGCTGATGCAATGCTGTGTTGCTTATTGCTGCTTTTAGCAGCTGCATGGGGCTTACAACCCTCAGCAGTACCTTTCTGGTAAAACACTGTCTGCATCCTTGGCCCTTGGCGCTTCTTTCTGCCTGTTGTAAGCCAACTCTTATTTTCAAAGCTTTGGAGCATTGCGCCCTCACAAGCCTCCGCAAGGTCTCAATAACTTAGGTCCCTGGAACAGCAGAATTCGGGAAACCAAAAACAAAACCATTGCCTCCTCACCTGCGACTGCGCCTTTCCACCATCACTTCATGCCCCCGTCCCCCTTTTGTTTCTTGTCCTTGGGGGCTTTCACATCCGCTGTTCTAAAACCCCAAACCACAGAACTTTCTTTTGGGGGCCTCTAAATCCGCTGTTCTGAAACCCCAACTGCGTGGCGTACAATTGAAGGGCTCAGAGCTCTTACCTCCAACTGCAGCTGATGATCCTGCCACTGCGCATCCGCTCCCCCTTCCCCTCTCTCTTCCATTGGCGCATTCAGATCCAGATCCAATGCACGCCCCCGCCTTGAACCGCTGCTCAGGGACCCCCCCGTGCTGGGGCTTCCCTGTCGCCCCTCCCCTCGATCCATTTCAGGCACTCTCTCCCCCTTTTCAGGAACTGGGATTACAGGGTTCAACTCCGCTCCCTTCGGAGCTCCGCCAACTCGCACCCCATGATCTGTTCCGGATTTGCTCAGAGGCTGCTTTTCATGATCATGTTTGCTTCCCCCTTCTTGTTGTAAGTCCGCCTTACATTGGTGATCATTTACAGTATTGCCGTTCATTGGGGGTCCAGCGATCCCTTGCCCCCCCGTGCTCCCTGGCAAAGGGATGTCACCTCTGCCGCTCCTGAAGGGGAAGACATATTTTTACATCAGAACAGAGGGGACTCAAGCAACAACATGAACGCCCTTCCGCTCCAGATTAAGCCGTAACTCTCCACTTCATGACACAAGGGCCAAGTTGGAGAAGGCATTGCAGTGGTGAAAACAATGAATTTAAGCACGCCGCCATTGGGCAAGGACGCTTTACAGATTATGTAAGTTTGAGCACCTGCCATCAATGTACTTCAAGAAGGCGGCCTTGGACAAACATTTGGCCCCAGAACGAGAATGTGATCCAAAAGTACTTGGAGCACAAGAGGCCCAGGGTCAAAAGATCTGACAGAACAATCAGCATCCAGCAGAACTCCCGCAGGAATCAAGTGGGCGCATCTGAGATGTTTTGGTCTTACGCATCCCAAAGGCTGGCTAAAGAGGGGGTCAATTATTGATGGATGCAACTTGAAAACCTGGGTGGGGAGGCTTGTCTCAAAGGCAGGCTCAACTCAACGGGCTTGAAATGAGGAGTGAGTTTGACACCACAGCTGAAAGTTAGGGCTCAATGCTGTTCCGGAGAGTGGGGCTCAAATAGCATTTCCATTATGGGGTTAAAAATGGTGCAAACCAGGGCTCGACCCCCAATATATGCGGTCCCTGCTGTCTGAAAATGAAGACCCCTGCAGTGTGAAGATGAAAGGCAAAGGCTCCGAGGCAAGTGGTACCTGTCTGGAGCCTCCACGTCTGAGGTCCGCGATGCCACATCAGCGTCCAATTGGCGCTGCTGGCTATCGGTTAGCCGTTTCTCTTGCATTACGCGCTATGTCCTTGTCAAGAAACAATTTCGGCTAGACCTGAAATATGAAGCCTCTGATTAGAGAATACCAAAATTGCACTGCAAATGGATGCCAGTGCGGATGTGCGCTGAAGTCAGAAAGAGGAAGTTGCGTTGAAAATGCAAAGAGTGGTGTATCATCTAGTTGCTGCCAAATTGTGCGCCTCTGGTCCTTTCAAAGCTGGTGGTTGGGTGAGAAACCAGTCATGAAACAAGGTTCTCAAACACCATCTTCTTTACAATCTTCTTCTGCGAGTCGATCTGCAATGACAAAGCTGATGATTCGATGTACTGTGGGTCCAATCCAAAGGGAGCTCCGCTTGTGCAGCTCTGTAACAGGGCAATGTGAATATTCTAGCCAAAAGCAAGCTCAAGAAAAGGGTCCTGTCCTCATTCGGCAGTAAGAAGAAGTCTCTGCAAGCTTCTGAGGAAAGCAAAGCGAATTGATGTGACTTCATGTCTCAAGCTGCGATTTGCAGATGGAGACGTGAGGCCAGCAGTGTCTGTGCTCCTGAAAGCTGGAAAGAGTTGTCCGAGGCTGTGTAGCAGTCTGATAAACAGAAACACAAGTGCTGGTACCAAAAGTCATAAAGGCAACTAACCAGAAAAGAGCGTCAACCTTCACTGTGTGATGTGATGCTTCTTAAATCTCCTTTGATACTCCCCTTGGCGAGTTGCCACCTGAACAATGCAATGGTATGCATGAGACGGTCACAACAGCTGCATCATGGATTGGTGCACAATTTGGTGTCCCTCTGAGCATGTTCGAAACATCTTTTGACTGATACACAAGCTTGGTGGCCATCCTGAACACCAGACCGCTCCCAGAGCAGCACCGTGGCTCAAGGCTTGAGCTCAGAGGATATCCCAAAAGCTCAGACAGTATAATTGACAATTATACAATGATACAGCATCTTCTATACAACGATACAACATCCAATGCATGTTGAATTCGCGTAGTGCACAAACATAGAGTTCAACACTCACATTGTAAGGACTTTGTTGAGTACATGGTACAAGCATGTGAGACAGGCCAGCCCGACTGAGTCCTGGTCAAACAGTGAATGCCAACTCATTCATACAGATTAGTAGCTGTACACCTATAGATCACAAAAAGGACTTTTGACTCCTCGACAACCGTTCTTGTGCCCAACCAAAGACAGAACAAATAATTAGAAAAGTGGGAAAAGGTGCAGACAATGGTGCTTCCAACCTACTAGCAACCACATAAGCTGAACTTTGAAATAGATGGATTGAGAAGCTGGATTGAGAGGCTTGTAGTCCTTTGATAACAGACACGGCATTCTCATCTGAGGAAGAAAAACAGTAATAAAAAGGCAAACATGTAGTTGCACACAAAGGCTTTGATCCAAGGTTGCGATTGATGACTCTTGCTTGAACACTCACCCAAACATGAGCATCTGCAACAGCTTGCAATTGCAGGGACCAATGTAATCTCCAGCTTCAGGTTAAACCTGCACTTACTTGCATGATCATTCGTGTTCAAAGACTTTCGCTCCAAGCCCCATGCATTGCTGCCGTCAAGCTGCCTCAAACACGATGAATGCGCTCTTCCGTTCTGCACCAGGGCAACTACAGAACTGCTCAGCGTCTCTCTTGACAGCAATGCAACTCGTGCAGACACAGTGAGGCCGGCACGCTGGAGCAGGATGAAGCTTGAGGCTTGCAGCCTTGCACCTCTGACAATCTGTGGAGCATGCAAGAAACTAGAAGATAATACCTTGTCAATTTTTCAATGGAGCTTCTCCACATGGTACCTACTACCGTAGATGGAGGATAACACCCGACGCGGTCCTGTCTGTGTAGTGGCAGCCTGTGCAGTGTGCAGTGTGAAGCACAGTGTGTGCCGTTGGTACGTACCTTTAAGTTGACACTCAATCTCGAGTCGTCGGTCGGACGGGCCTGGACGAGACTTCTCAATTCTGATCTTATTCAGAACCACGCTCCGGAGTCGGGAGAGATGCGACGTTAACACATAAACCGAGAAATCGACGCGTCTGTACGCCTATCAAACATTAACCTCCACATTAACCCTTTCTTCGTCCCCGGTCACTTTCCTCGGCCGGCATGGAAACAACTGGGGTGTCGGCGATTCGGCTGCAGCTCCAACCTATTGGCAGTGTCAGTACTGGTAGCAGGTACCGCCAAAGAAGGCCCAGGTGGTGGCGGGTTAAAGTTGGAAGTTGGAAACTCCTAGGTAGCTTGTCGTCAAGAAGACGTACGCATCCTGGCGCAATTTCCGTGACCACAAGAAGCTTTCGACGCTGTCGAAGCATCTGGTGGTTTGTATGATATAACCTCTCCTATTTCAAGATCGGTTTCCGTGAAACCGAGACCTTATACCTAATGCAAATCTGACCCTAGTACGCAGCTACCATGCATGCGCACATGCACCACACTTCGGAATCAAATCCAAGTGGACAGGTTATAAGAATAGAAGTAGGTATGTCATATGCCCACTCAATTTAACCAATCCAAACTACATAATCGCAGCTTCCCGCGCACATACGTAGCTATGGCGCCAGCACGTCGAATCCAAGATGGCAAGATCATTGCGGAAAGGCGGTAATCAATACCTGTGGAGACTGGCAGGTACTACCTGAAACGGCCAGAGTCTCGGCGCGCAGAATCTTGGCCAGGAATCCACTGTCATGATGGCTGACTTAATTGGCCGCTGTTAATAAGTACCGTTACCCGTAACAAATGGCGTCGGGGTATTGAGCAAGGGTACGTGCCATTGGGACCACTTTACCAGTAGCGGGATACGCACCTGGATACCTACCTAGGTAGGTACCACGGTACTACCGCAGATAGGGAACGACTCCGAACAGTACCGTACCTAGATAAAAAGAGAAGGGACCCGGGACCAATCGGGAGTCGGGACTCGGGACTCGGGACTCGGGAGTCAGGACTCGGTTGGAACTGGGTACCCTCAACATTTACCTATTTAAACCACCACCCGCACTTTATCTTCGGGCAAATCGGAAGTGCTGACGTGGCATTCCCACCAAACCGATGGATGCAGATTCAAATATGAATGTCGGGCGCACGGTTCTTTCGTCCATCTTTTCACAGGCTCGCGGATTTACATCGGACTTTTTCGCAAAACCGGGCACAGTACATTCGTCCCGGGCAGTAGTGCCCGCCTAGCTACCCGCAGTGTACTGACCGGTGCAGCACGTGTACCGGCTGTACGTTTCCGTGATGTGAACACACGAGTTTGGCATGGTGGATGCAGTTTGAATGAAAATCTTCCCTCCAAAAGCACCTTTTAGGGCTTGTCCATGGGCTGCATACAGGGTGCCGTGACCAGCACCATGGCAAGTCTGAAAGGGCATTGCATCCTAGACATGCTGCACTTTTCAGACATAAAAAAGGCCCACTGCACAGAAAGATAGCTCATTCCAAACAAGCAACTTTCCAGCATCCAATTCTCTCAAGCATCTCTCAACATGGCTCCCAACAGGCCCGCCTCCCATCAATGCTACTCATGCTTCCGGGTCATGGTGTGCCACAACGGAGAGATCAAGGTCAAGGAGGGCAACAAGCCCACCATGACATATACGGAGGCATGGTTTAGAGATGAGAAGGAGGACTTCTACATGGCTGCCAAGAACTGGTGTGATGGCAATGGGGCCTCTCTCATTGGGGTCCTCTCCACCATCCTCCAGCCCTATTGCGGGTGGAGCAACAAGGAGAAGAGGCACAAGATTTACAAGAGGCTGGCCTACTACGCCGGCTACAAAGAGAGGACCAAGCTGCCTCTTGACCTTGAGAGAGCCATCAAGGAGGAGTTCCCCGAGGAGGAGGAAGCTAACTACACCGGCTTCCGTCCTCGGGCGTAATCTGTTGTGCTGCAAATCTGCATACAACAAAACAAAACTGGTGTTTTCTAACACCACCCCTGTTCTGAAATTTGTTCACTGATCCCGTGACAATGCACAGGCTGAAAGTATGTTCTTTTCAGAAGCAATCAGATCAGACCTGAAGAGTGCTCTGCAATTCTGTTTCTTGTTAGCAAGTCGCCTACATTCTGAAATTCTTATGATGACCCGAGATGGAATTAAACCACCTTTTCAGCATCAGCCGGGTCTGGCAGGCCCCGCAGGGCCTGCACTTCTCCTCAACAACTGGAGAATCTGATTGGCTTTGACAAACAAGACGCAAGGCTGATTTGCAGAACAGCAGACTACATACCAAGGCGTGCAGCAATCTTTGACTTCCACCTTGTTGTTTTCTCAGACAGAACATTTCGGTTTGCACCCCTGGCACGTATAGCAGTTCCAGCAGCGCGTCTCACCTTCTTCAGAAGAACCACTCTATCCCGTCCCTCGTTCCAGTCCAGCGCTGCGCATGCAACCCGTGCCAGGTGGCTCTTGCTGTAGTGGATCCTCTTGGTCGCATACTTGTTAATCAGGGAGTTGAACGTTTCAGACAAGTAGTTCTCGCGAGCCCTTGTGTAAAACTTCATCTTGGCAGGCGTGCATTTCTTCTGAAGCCACTGCTTCACAGCCAGATGGGTCTCACCTCCCTTCTCATAGTATGCTCTGGTCCCGTCCCAGCTTTCCTTGACACACTTCCTGTCGGGGTCAATGGCTGCACACACTGAATGATCTCCTGCCCAGTGGTCAGCCGCATTGTGGATATCCTTGCACAAGGCCGCAACATCGTCATCTTTGGCAGCTGCACGCGCAAAGCTTGCATTGTAGACATGAGTCTTCAGCTTATCTGGGATCCTGTTGCTAGACAGCGCAGGGTGCTTCAGCAGACGAGTATCCTGAGCAACCTCTTCCTCCTCCCTCCCGAAACTCTTCCACAACCTGTCCACCAGCTCATCTTTCTTACCTTTGAGGTCAAGTTTTGCTGCCTTCAAGTGCTCCTTCAGAACAGCGACAGTCAGTCTTTGAAGATCCTGCGCACAGCGAGCTTCAGACAGGCTTGTCAGATCCCCCCTCTTGGCTTTTGCAACTTCCTCATTGAAGTAGGCCACCAGTTTCTTGCACTTGTGCCAGAGATCCTTCTGACTATCGATGTCCAACTCTGCCAGAATGGAGTCCACTGAAGCCTTGTCATCATGGACTACCTCAACCAGTTTGACACCCTGCTCAATGAGCTCATCCACTGCCTGTCTGACTGCAGCATCTTCAGTTTTCCAAGAACTGCCTGTCTCCTCCCTCGTCAAAGTCACAATGTTCACACACTTCCCGGACTTCATATCCAGGGCAGGCACAGTTCCGTGGTATCCATCTCTGCTTGAATCAAACCGAGCATCCATGAATACCACAGTCCCTTCCTCCCCATCCCTCTCCTTCACATGAGCCCTGACCTCTGCCATGTTCTCAGCGGCAACCTCAAGAACAGCCTCACACCAGCCTTTAATTTTCCCCACCCCATTCTCATCGCCTTCCACCCCATTCTGAAATCTGTAGAACAGCTTCTCTGAAGGTGACTGCAAACCCAATTCCTCAGAAAACTCAGAAAGCTCAGTAAAGCCCATGCCCGCACACAGTGCAGCATGAAAGAACTTGCGAGTAACCAGAGGAATCTGAGTTGCAGCATCCTCGTCAGCTGACCTCCACAATGCAGAATGTTCCCCAGAGGTGCACTTGAGATGGATCACAGCTGTCCCATTCAGACTGACCACCCTGTCAGCTGCCATCCGACATCCACAGCCCCGAGCATGGCATACTGGCGGGAAAAGAGCTACAAACTCCGCAAGCTTCGACAACTCCCCAAGATAGACAGAGGGTAGCTTCTCCTCCTTCTCAGAAGGTCCAACATCTGATGGCTGCTCAGATTCCAGCTCTTGAAAGTCTGGCTCCAACTCTGGATCGTCCAAGTCCAGAAAGCCAGTGCGCTCATCAAAGAAAGCATCCTTCTTCCTCAAAGCAGGCAACACACGAGAAGGACTAATCTCACTCAGCAAGCCAAGATCCATCTCATCCTCTGAGTCATCTTGCCCACCTGGACTTTGCCCCCCAAGTCCAGGTCCCGTTCCGCCTTGCTTTGCTGCATCTGGAGCTCTAGTTGCTTGCACCAGCCCTTGAAGCTTCTCCTGGCAGTTCTCAAGAAGCCACCCCACAGTTGCTGGGGTGGAGAGGGGCTTGCCTGATGCATTCTTCAGCAACTCTTGAGCCTCAAAAAGCTTCGCAGCAACTTGCGGATTGAGAGTGATGTTTGTGCTTCTGCCTTTTACTTTCTCATTGTAACGAATCTTGTCAGAGGGATAGGACTTCTTTGACTGCTGAGCTGCAGAG